AACATATACCCTGAGCTTTATACATTGCAAAATGCTCTTGCTTAAAACTTTGTTAATACCTACTGGTGTCAACCATGTGTTAGCAAAATATCTTGTGACCCAGGGGACAAATATTATGGAGCTCTTTACAATAATTTATTGGATGTTTCTCTACAACATAATTAGTTTGTTATTTATCAAATACAAGATGGCCACCACAGTAATTTGACATTAGCTGATACAGAAAAGGCTATAAATCAGTTGTTTAATATTTTATTGCTTCTCTTTTTTATTTTGCTTTTGGATAAAAATTAAACCTAGATGTGCTAACGATGGGGGTTTTAAATCAATATAGTGTCAAAGCTCTTATTCATAAATCTTTGTGTCATTTATGGTTAAGGTGACGTGTTTGGAGCGTGATAAATCAAAAAGTGTTCTGTGTCGAACTGCTGAGTGTGTCAGGCAAACACGTAGGAACATAAGAAGACAAAAGCTGAGCAGAGAACTCGCACCATCTTTATGCAACAAGCATACGACCGCGTCCATTATACACATGCTTTGCTACGTGGGGAGGTTTTGTTGTACACATAAATAATGTCAAAGAGTTCATGCTTTATATAACAGCAATCCACATGCAGAACGTGGTGCTGGAGAACAGGAGCAGCATTCAAAAACTTGGATGATCCAAATTTCTGCAGCTGTGAAAAGCTCGGTGAATAAAACATGGCCTGGATTCTGAAAATCATAAAATTAGAGCTGACACATTTATTTAATATTTCAAGCTAAAGTTTACTGCTTGGCTAATAACAACACATTTGGCAGGTACAAGAATCTTAAACGTTTTTTTTGTTTTGGTCTTTAAAAAAAAAAAAAGACGTTCACATACTGTATATCCATCTATCCAATATCTTTACCTGCTTCTTCCTTTTTGGGTCATGGGTGCCTATATACAAGTACAACAGTTACTGTTCGAGAGGCGGGGGACACCCTGGACTGGTCTCCAGTCCATCACAGGGCCATGTTCGCCCCTTTTCCACAATTCCTCTTTGGCCCCCCTTTACTCTGCTCAGGTTGGTTCCGTGTTCTTTTCCTCAGGGCCTTCTTTGTGGAACCGGACTGTTTTTTCAGTACCTACTTCTCTGCGGTTCCATTGAGGCCAAACAGGACCCTAAAACATGACATCAGTGCACTGTCGGTTACTGATTGGTCAGGGGGAGGAGTCATTGGTCAGAGGGCGGAGTTTCAGAAATTTCCACAGCAACCCGATCGGCCATTTTGTTTTTAACCTGCCATTAGAAACAACTCGAATCCGGAGAAGCATATTTTGGAGTATTTTGAAAGTATAAACAAACAATAATGTCACAATCGTGGTCAAATGCTGAAGTTCAGGCGTTTTTGTGTTTGCTGGCCGACCAAAAAGTTCAGAGCGAGTTAGATGGAGCGACACGTAACGAGAAGGTTTTTAAAGAGGTGTCGGTGCGTTGATAATAATGATCCGCCCACTAAAGGGGCACTAATGGGCACTGTGGAAATTGGAAAATTAAGCGATCTGACCTGTACCGACCCAGTAAGGGCCGAGCAGGACCTATGGAAATGAGGCAATTGAGACAAACAACCATTCACTCTCTCACTCATACCTAGGGACAATTTAGTGTCACCAATCACCCTAACATGCATGATTATGGTCTGTCAGGGAGGAAACTGGAGTACCTGGAGAAAACCCATGGACGGAGAGAACAAGCAAACTCCATTCAGAAAGGTCCCTGGCCAGGATTTGAACCAGTGACCTGCTTGCTGAGAGGCAGCAGCTCTACCAACTGTGCTACCATGGTAACACTGAAGTAAGAGAATGGTCAGTACGAAGTAGTAAATACTCAAAGAAAGTAGTCTAGCTGCTTTAGTTTGTTTCTTAACAATGAATCTTGCTGTTTTCAATTAATTTGTTTCAATGTTAAACATAAGCAGGCTAATGGGCCAAGTTATGTGGTACAGATAAGGCAAGGCTAAATGTTCAAAAACAATAACTCATGAGTCCCCCAGCCGGGATTCTATCCTGCAACATTCTCACTGGCAGTAGCTCTTCCAACTGAGCCACCGTGCGGCTCACATACAGTATATATATATATATATATATATATATATATATATATATATATATATATATATTAAAGTAAAAACATAATCTGATAACAGTTTTCTCAGTTTCCATTTGACTTCCATCAATCATGGTGAATATTATTTCTATCTGAATAAAGGACTTTAATCTAGTTTTGGGTTTAGTTTATTTGTTTAGTTCCATAATTGAGTCTTGCTCTTCTGGAAGTGATATATTAGTTTTTTGCTTCTTTCAGTCTTTCTTTCTGCAATCTTCTAATTATGTTTTAGAATAAGTTTCCTCTTTTCCTGTTACAGTTCCAAATCCTGGTATTTATTATTCTTTATTATTCCGTTTTCATGTGTGTTTGTTACTAAATACCATCTACTTAAGTTTTATTTGTAATTAACTCCTTATTATATATTCAGCTCAGTTTCTTTTGTTCTGCGGATGCATTTTATTTGACGTCTTCATAGATGAAAAACAAAAACAAAAAAAAACAATAACTGGATTTCTATTCTAACAGGACAGTGGGGTGAAGGAAGCCATTTACATCAAACAACTTTAAACAGAGGAGGAGGTTTCAGATTTCAGCTCTCAATACATACTCATTAGGCCTGATTCCAGGTCAGTTCCACTTTAATTTACACCTTCACGCAGGTGCCCAAAACATCTCTGTGAGCCAGGCAGACAAAGAACCTAACGAGGCTCCACTATGAGGGCGAGTAGTTCCAGTCTAACCTGCAGGTGAATCCAAGTCCACAACCAGTCATCTCATGCAGTTCTATAACACTTGGAACTCCACACACTCCAGACACTTTAGAATTGTAGCCTCCTGGATGTGAAGCGGAACGTCTTCAGCTTCAGAATAGGAGTCCACTTGTTTGTTTTTTAACCTTTTTCAATGAATCGTGACCTGAATGACTGAGAAGCTTCACCATTATATCTCATCATAGACTGGATATACAATAGACACCTATTTTCCCTTCTATTCTATGGAATGGATGAACAGGATCTGGTTTGTGGTGTGCTGCCATCTTGTAATTTTGGAACAAAAGCCCATGTATTAGCAACATGGGGCTTTTGGTCCTACCAACTGTCTCGCACATGATCTTGATGTTACATGACATTTCTCTTAAGGACAAAATAACTAACCAGCCACTTTTACCTGTTTTTCTGTGCAGGATCTTAGGAAGATGACGTCTATCTTCAGCGTACATTGGAAAAAAGACAGGTACACTTTCAGCAATGCACCAGTCCATCACAGGGGCATATGAAGACAAACGAGACAGACGACCACGCTCAACTTGTGACGATTTAGAGTCGTCAGTTAACCCAAGCTATGTTATTGTCTGGGAAAAGAAAGTGTACACAGAGAAAATCCCTGCATTGATATCCATGCAGTCATGGACGGCTGTGGCTGAGTGGTTAGAGCAGTCGTCCTCGAATGCAAGGATTGGAGGTTCGAATCCATCAGCAGTCACATGCCCAAGTGTCCCTGGGCAAGACACTGAACCCCTCATTGCCTCTGATGTGTGTCCCATTGGTGCATGAATGTGATAAAGCTCTGATTATTCTTTGTATAAATCTAGTAGAGTGCTGTATGAATGGATAAATGAGGGCACAGATTGTGTAGCAAAGAGCTTTGGGTATTATCCTAAGATAGAAAGGTTCTGCATAAGTACAGTCCATTTACCACTTATAGGAAGAACATGCAAACGTCATACAGAAATTTTACAGTTGGATTTTAAACTATCGCCCATAAGTGTTTTTATTGTCAGAAGTCAGATAGTTGCTAATAAAAATGCCTATGCTGACAATTTATAATGAAAGTTTTTGAGGACTCTCAAATTAGCACCAATAATGAATAGGGACAGAGAGTTAATGAAAATCCGAGACATGTAGAAAGCTCTTATTTTGGTAATTACTAAACCTTAGTCTTAGTCTGCATTTGCTTTCAATTTTTTTTTTTTTTTTACACAGCTCACTTTGTTTTACCTCCTCATCAAATAATAAATATTCCTCCCTTTGCCTATATTATGTTCAGAGTCAAAAATAATAAAAAGAAATGTGGCTTCCATTCGATCAAAGATATATAAAAAAAATTAGATGTCACAAAGGAGAGACGAAATACTGCAAGATTGCTAATGCAGGCAAATAAGTGGTTCCAGGAATATGTCTGGAACTGGGGTTGTTTCATCATGTCAAAGTCAGCCGGCAGCATTTTAGTGAAGCCAATCACATTAAACAAGTGAAAAACTCCAACAGTCTATATACCGGAGTCATTCACTCTCTTAGGTGTCCCACAGTGAGTGACTCTCTGGGTGAAGCAAAAGAAAGGAAAACAGGAAACTAAACAAAATAAAACTTTTTTATCCCTTTTAAGTAGGATCAAAGAAGAACTCCTTTAAATCTTCCATTAAAATGCACGACAGACTGAAGAGGTCACATCACACTGCATTTATTCCTGGGTTAATACATGAAGAGAGAGCCATTTCCTAAAATTACTATCATTATTGGAGCTTTTGTCAGACCAAAGTGGACAGAGGTTACAATATATTCGCACCCTTTGTACCTCCTAGTTGGATCTGCATAGCAATCCATCTCTTCCAATTACATACTGGGTTGGCTATATCAGAGAACTGAAGCCTAAGCACTGGTTAGTGGTTTGGGTAATGATACATGCACATCTTCTGTGCATTTGAAGAGCAGTTCTGCAACAATATTCCAGTTTTAAGTGTTATATTGCTCCGAGGACACAGTCTGTTAAATCGGAAGAAATCACGCAACCGGAATAAAAATGACTCGAGGTTAGTAATTGGAGAGCAAAGAGAGGAAATGGACAGAGTAGATGAAAAAAAAAACAGAAAAGCAAAATGGCCCGGACACTCACTGATCAACACACAGGAAGCGACATCGCACTTACCTGCAGTGCCTGTGAACCCCAGCCACAGTGTTGATGATGGAACATTCGCCTTCGTTCAGACAGAAGGCGAGGTCCTTGTCCTCCACGCATGGCTTGAAGACCTCTGAACGCACACTAGGAAGTGTTGGAGCCGGGGCTAAAGACACAGACAAAAATGATTCAGTTTGGATTGATTTTAAAATAATCTCTTATTTTGTGCATCCTAAAGCAATAGTCCATATTTTCTGAAGTGGTGTTTTGTCTAAAGGTTTTAGGTAATTCTTTAAATGTAATTGGAGGTAAATGGAAATTGGTGGCTTGATGGTAATGGGGAACAGGTAAAGGTATGCATGAAAGAACAAAAGAACCAGGAACTGACTATAGAAAGACACTGGGAAAATGAACTAGTGGTGCAGGAGAACAAAGAGGAACAGAACCAAACACAAAGAGCACAAAACTCAGAAAATAAACACAAACCAAAAGGAATAAATCTAACAAACATAATAGACATGGGGTTCTCAAACTTATACACAATTATTAGTACTTTTTTTTTTTTTTTGCAGCCCCCCAAGCACCTGTTCACGGACCCCAGTTTGAGAACCACGGCAACAGACTATATAAAAATAACCAAAAACTGATCCTGCCATTTTATACAGAACCTTTTACTAAAAGATCGGAACCATCCCTTTGAATCAAAAGTTAAATATACAAAAATATCACATTTTGCAAATGAGGATGATGTTTTATGTAGTAGTTTTTACACCGTTTTCTGTTTTATACTAGAATAAGTGATGGGTTGTTTTTTTTTAGACTTAAAATCTCAATGAGAATATTTTATTTTAAAAGTACTACGATACTTAAAATGACCATTTTCAGCTTGAAGGTTGCTGAATGTTTTTTTTTCTTGATGAAAGAAATGACTGCAATAAAATTATTCAAAGCATTTACTGCAATCAGTGCCAACCTGCTTCTTTGTCTATTTATAATTAAAGCATACACTTTGTATTTTTCCTTCCCCTTTGCTTTAAACATAGTGATTTAACCACAACTCCCCAGTGATATTCTTGTTTTCTAGCACAGAAACAGAGGAGTGGAAAGAGACAGTGAGGTCCGATGTGTCTTCACCTCCTCTTCCTCCTGCCTGACCCCAAGCAGTTATTTCATAAAGACCACGGCTGCCATGCGCAAGCACTGCAATGCAGACTTCTCCACCCAGTGAAATATGCACAGCTGTCAGCCAAGTTATCACAGCAGCATAAATATTCTGTGTGTGACTTCACATTAATGAGTGGGAATTCAAATCACCCATACACAAGGACACACTTGCATACACAGAATCAGTTACGAAGGAATAATCTCACTCCAGCTCTTTTACTTGGTGTAGTCAAGCAATGAAAATGGGATTGACTGGTATTATGCCCGATGCCACACCAATACAATTGGATTACACATGATTCTCTATTCATCCATTTATTTCTCTGCACCCAGTCATACCTTTTTCTTTTCTCCCCCAACACACACATTCACAAGTAATATTCTGGTAATCATCATTCGTTTTATGTGAATCTGCCCCATCTTTCATGCCTGATCTGCTTTGAATTGCTCAGGTTTGTTACCTAATGGCTTCTTATCTTTTCAGCTCTGGATCTACTTCCCATCCATGTGATGGAGTTAAAAAAACAAACAAAAAAACAGTACAAATCTGTTAGTTTTGCCTCAGTGTCCTGCTCAGTGTGTTTTGTTTATGGCTATTGATCAATACATCTGGTGCTCTTCATCCCCACAGATGATGAGCGATCAAAGAGAACACAAAAAGAGAAGTGCGGTGCTCTTGGGGCTAACCAAGACACAACTCTCAGAGTGAAAACTTTGAAGGAAAACATTTACTGTATTGACTCAAAAAGTGTCTCTTCAGAAGCCTGTTTTATATATTAAGCTACACATGAGTGTGTATAGATATATATTTATGCAACACATTTGTTGCCTAGTTTTTATTCCTCAGCCTCTGGTGCGCACCAATAAAAGGAGGCTTTTACTCACTTAATCAGATTTTATGTTGTATTATTAATTCCCCAAACTCCCAAAGTGAGATTTTCAAAAGGTTATCTATTCCAGGATGCAACTTTATTATTAGAAAATAGAACACAGTGTCCCCTGTGGTACATATGTCCCTTGCAATAATTGTCACGGTCTTCAGAGTCCCTTGCATCTTTCATTCAGAAAGCAACAGACTAACGGTGCTTAAAGAAAACACAGATTATATTCAGAGTTAAGTCTTCCAAAGGTGAGAGTTGAACTGTGTGAGGAAGAGCTTTCCTGACAAACGAGGCAACTGGTTTGTGTGATTTTAGGCTCCAGTCCTGGTTTGTTCACATCAGGAACTCCAAAGTCATGCAGACTAAACTTTCATAAAAAGTACAAGTTGGGAAGTTTGTACCATTTTAATAAAAAAAACAGAATGCAACGATTTGCAAACCTCAAAAATCCATCTCTTATTTACAATGAAGCATAGTATGTTTATGAAATGTTTAAACTAAAATAAAAATAACATTAGGGAGGAAAAAAATGACAATTTTGAATTGAATGGTGGCAACACATCTCAAAACCTGGAGATTTTTTAAAGGGAATGTTGCCCCATATTTGTCTGATGTTGGATTCCAGATGTTCATTAGTTCTTAGTCTTCTCTGGAAGTTTTTGTTTCATGATACAGCAAATATTTTTTTATTGTTGTTGAGAGTTCTGGCCTGCAGGCAGCATCCAAACTCTTCTACTATCCCACTGTAATGAATTCAGTGATGGTTTAACATGGTGGTGCTGAAATTTGCAATGCCTTCCCAATAAATGATGTTTGTGTATGTTGTTTTAAAACATGTACAGCATATAGTTGTCTGCAGTGACAAGGGCTTTTCATATGTTCAGTCATCCCATGGAATTAATGCTTAAACCATCAGAGGCTTTTGAACTGTGCGCTCATAACAAGCCAAATAGTCTCATCTTTTCAGTACAGAGGACCAGAGATCACAGCCATTTAATATTGACCTTCAGCTTTGTTGTTTGACCCCAACAGTTTATCCAAATTCCTAAAAAAAATGTACAAAACATCATGAACTGCAGATCATGAGATATTCAGTTTTCCAAATTTCTTATTAAAGAGCATTATTCTTAAATTGTTCCACTATTTTTAGCTGCAGTTCTTTGCAGACTGCTAAACCTGTGCCTATCTCTACTTCTGAGAGATAGAGCCTCTCTAAAAAGCTCTTTTTATATCCAGTCCTGTTAAGGCATGTTGCCAAATACCCTTAATTGTAGTGTTTTTGTTGCCAGCATTCGTTTTTCTAGATAAGTTGCTGCCATAAAATTCAAAACTAGGCTATTTTGTTAAAACATGATACAATGTATTAACCATTTGATTCAATTGTGAAACATAACGTGTTTTTGAGATTTGCAATTTCTGTTTTAATTTTCTTCACTTTACCCCAACACCCCAACTTTATCACAAATGAGGTTGAAATATTTGTTTTATAATACCTCAATAACCTTATGAGCTTGCCACTGTCACCAAAGTGACCCCAAGAGCCAGAGTAGAAATAATCCTGTGACCACTGAACTTTCATCACTCGGTCAGTTCAGAAAGTGCTTCAAGTACAGCACCATTTCATCCGTCATGCAGTGTTGACGGAGCAGGAAAGGCAAGGTTTTGAACGACAAGGTCACCAAGGCACCAGTGACACAGCACTTTGGGAATCAATGAAGATGGATGTCTTCATATTATTTTTTTTCTACAAACAAAAAAGTAACTAGAACACACCAAGGCTGGTTACATCAGCATATTTGCTTAAATTGGTTCTCTTCTTTCAGACAGAATGTGCCAGTAAGACTTCCAGAGGGAGGGAGGTTGGCATGAGCTCCTTAAATTAAACAACCAATTCAATCGTAATTTAAATGCATATAAAAAAAAAATCAAAGAGTAGACTGGTTTTTTTTTATGCTTTTGAATCTTTTGCAAAGTGACCTTCAGGTGCAGAATGGGCACAAACGCATTAAAATCTTCTTTTTTTTTTTTTTTTTAGAAAGCAGAATGATAAACTATGATAAAAGAACACCTGCACATTACTGCAAAGTCCACAATACAACATATATTATATTTGTATGATTTTTGATACTGCAGCTACACTAAAGCACTATTTTTGTATGCAATAAATATATTAGAAGAAAATATTATGCATTTATTTTCCTTTTTCAAATCATAACATCTCTAAAACAGCAAAACAAAAAAAAACAAAAAAAAGACAGATTGAGTCAAATAAGATCTACAAAAACCTGACTACACTTTTATGAGTATCACCTCTGGTCTGTTTTCACGTGGGCCATGTTAAGTCATCTTCAGATATGTTTGTCCTTGAGTAACACCGGCTGTCAATTCGTAATAGGTTTCCATTTTATCACTGTGACAGCAACAAAATGGTAAGAAAAATCTGCAGCACAACTCTCTTTGAACGAGCGTCTCTCAAGTGGAAGAAAATGGTGCACATTTTAAACGATTTATCAGAATAGAAGCTGATTATTAAAATATGAAAGTATTTATAATTGTTTTAATGCAAAAAGAAATGTTGCTTAAGTTTGAATATTTATATTGGACCTTTCCTAGTTCCATTTCCTGAATAATGCTTTAATAATAAATACTTTCACGTTTTCCATTTCATTTTTATAAAAAACCCAAAACCTACTGTACTCTTTAAATCATTCTTGCTTTTTACTATAGAAGTAGCAGCTTTTCCGCTTTCAAATTTTATTAAGTAGTGTCAGGATGACTAATTATGACTAACACATGAGTTGCTTTTAAATTAATCTATCAACACTTTTACTGAAGCCTTTTACCAAAAGAAAAAAAAAAAAAGTCCTCAAAATGTCAGCCTCAAGCTAACTCGAAACAGAATTTGTAAGGTAGCTGTAAAAAATGGTGCAGAATGTGTTAATAAATGGCATCTGCAGTGGGAGCGTGATTCATCCTGGACTCTTTGAAATCATGTTCACGTCCTTCACTCTCCCCGTTGCACAAAGGCAATCCAGATTGCCGATTCCCTTGGTAATTTTCAAGGAATCTGCTAGCAGGGAAATCACAGATTCAGATGATGCTTGAGAGATTAGTTATCTGA